AAAACTCGAGCGGGAGCCAAAGGGAGAGGGGAAATAAAACCCTGCAGCACTGCAGAGAGCTGGGCTGGGTGCTGGGAAGCCCTCGGCCGTGGGGTGCAAGCAGTGGTGCGAGCCGTTCCAGGGCAGGGACAGATGAGTGCTGTGTGGCACAGGGGTGGCACGGGGACGTTCACATCTCAGCCCCATGCTGGGGCTGTGCTGGAGAAGAGCTCTGTCTGCAGGTGTGAGCGCTTTGCTGATGGGGAGATGACCTTTCCTGCTTGGGGCTGCCATCCCCACGTGGCTGGAGGAGCACCCATCACCTTCCAGCCCGTACCACGGAGCACCAGAAGTGGCAGTGCGCCGCTGAGAGCTCCAGCAGCCCAGCATCACGGGGTCACTGAGGTCAGAAAAGCCCTCTCAGACCCCCAGGTCCAACCCCAGCCCACCCCACCGTGCCCACGCGTCCCCCAGGGCCACATCCCCGCGTTCCCTCCAGGGATGCTGACCCCCTCCACCTCGTGCTGATCCCGGCCAGTGAACCCCACAGGGCTGACAGCGCTGTATTTGCTCTCACCACGCACTCACGATGAATATTCACACCTGCATGGGACGAGTGAGAGCGTTCCCCAGCGGGGATTTCCATCGGAGCACCGTCTAATTGATTACGTGGCAATGGCTCCTGGTGGGAAGGGAAGCCCCTTCTCTGCTCTGGGTGAATTAATTGAGCTTGTGCCGCTCGTCGCTGTGCTCAATTAATCTCGTTAAAGTGATACCGTTTCGACTCGGTGTCTGACACAAAGAGGTACCCGGGGGGGGGGGGGAGGGGGGTCGGATCGCCGCCCGCTGCCCCGTTTATCCCCGCTATTGACCGCCTAAACAGTTCTTTGGTGATTACAATGTAAATATAGCTTTTCATGGAGTAAAGGCCTTTTATGGGATCCCCACACACTTAACCACTTAACCCCGGCGACAAAAAGAGCAGTGAATGAGCTGTTTGGAGGCTGCTCGTGCAGAAAAGCGGGCCCTGAATAGGATTTGGGGATCTCTGTGTATCAATTGCTATGCTCCGGGGGCCGTCAATGGGGCTTTTGGCGTTCGAGCATGTGCCAAGGGGGTTTGCGTGGATGGGGATGGAGGGTCCAAGAGAAGGGGGAAAAAAAAAATAGGAAGGAAAAAAGCAGCTGCTTCTCTTTAATAAAACAATGATTTATTCATAGCGACTCGGGGAAGGGGGGGATGTGGGGGAGTGCCAAAGCAGCGCCTGCTCTGTGCCTGCCCAGGGAATGGGGGTGTAGGGACCCCGTGTGCCCCCCCCCGAGTATCCTGCAGCTGGGCAGCGCCCCACAGCATGGGGCCGGGCAGCAGGAGCGAAGGAAGGAAAGGAAAACTGCTTTTCTAAGCTGGTATTTCATTGTGAAGGGGAGGGGGGGTGTTCAAAGCCCTCCTTCAGCCTCAATGTAAAATAGAAATACTACTATTAATATCAGCCATTAATTACACTTTCTGCACGGAAATCTGTCTCTAGTGACCTGAGGGGCTGGAAATTAGGGACACAGCAAGGCTCCAGGCATCAGGGAACCTTCCTCAGGGGCTTCTCCCCATTAATTACCACCTGGAATAGCCAAAGGGCTCCAGCACCTCATGGGCACTGCGGGTTTGGGGCAGGAGGACATCGCCCTGCAAGGGGACCTGGGGCTGCTCCTCCATCACCACCCACACAAACACCATCAGCTATTGGGAATCAATGGGGCACTGCAGGGGGAGCAGTGCAGAGAGTTGCATGAAAACAGCCTTGAGGAGCAGGGGAAAAATATGAGCTTAAAACTGAAGTTAATCACTTGCAAAGCTGCACGGTTTGCTTCTCGCCCCTGTGCCACGCAAAGCAATCCTGTACGTCGTTTTCTTTCAGTACAGCTGGCTCAGATTTCTGCTGTATGGAGGAGCATTGCTAGAGGTGGCCATAAGCTGTGCTTCTGGATGATACAAGAGCAAATAACAAAGTGCCAGGACTGAACATCTGTCCAGGCTGAGCACACACCATGTTAGCATTAGTGCTAATGACCGACAGTTGGCAGAGGACAAGTTTTGCTCTGCAGCTCACCCAATAAAGGCAGCCCTGCTCCCCAAGGCTTGGGGGTGTTTCACAGGGAGCCCCACAACCCCCAGTTCTGCTGCCCTTCAGCCCCTGTTTTTCCTCTCACCCCAGCACACTGCATTCCCCAACGTCTTCAATCCTGACTCCACGTCAGACTAGAGCCAGTGTTGCCCTCTTCCTATTTCTGCGGCTCTGTTTTCCGTGCCTCCTTTTCTAAGGGGGAAAACCTGAAGGAAAAGAGAGGGATGCTGAACACAGAACACATCACCTGCCTGTTCCAAAACCAAACACAAGCAAAAGGCATTTCCCTGGGCCCAGAGCTGTGCTCCATTCATCTCTCCTGGAGAACGGGTGCAGCCCCTAACAAGGGTTAAAAGCCAGCAAGGGCTGCTCCAAAGCCATCCCCGTCCACATGTGAGTGGTGCCTGGGGCTCTTTCTGCTCTTCCTGCCCTTTAATCCTCACACTGGCTCTGGGACAGCTGATGGGGGATCTGGGGCAGCTGAGGTTCAGCTTGTGTGCTCAGCACCCACCACACACACAGCCTCTCTTCAGGTGTCCACTCTGACATCATTTTTCACACGTTGGAAATACAGATGATTTTAGCCCGGGTCCATCTGGCTTCCCAAATAACCTGTCTGTTTGATAAATAACATAAATTAAATTAGACAAGACAAACAGTTTTTTCACTCTCTTCCTTTTGGTCTCTTGGCTAAAACAGGAAAAGAAGACATGATGCAGTGAGTGCCTGGAGCCCCACGGAGCTGCACAGCAACAAAGGCAGTGATTACAAACGTGTCTGCAATGTTAACCTTTAGTGCAGGGCTGTGTTCCTTCCCCTTGATCTTAAGTTCTGTTTTAGTTTCTTTCCCTCTGTTCAGGTTCCTCACAGCCCCAGCAGGCAGTGCTGTGCCCAGCACCCAGTGCAGGGGTTGCACTGGAAGGCACAGCTCACACAGCTCCTTATTGAGGATGAAAGCCATGCATGCCAGCAAGAGCTGGCTCTCACACAAAGACAAAAACACATCTCAAATCTCAGCCACGACTGCTAGGAACGAGCCCAAGATACAATCAGATGGGAAAAGCAAGGAACCGAGCGGCAGGAGCAATTCCTGCAGGCTCAGGGTGCTCCTGAGAGATGGTCTGCCCCTGGCTGCCCTGCCTATGGCTGTGGGCTTCTCCTTCCCACCCCTCTGCCCTTCATTCCCACCCTTTTGCTGCTCTCTGCTCGGCCCAGCATCCAGCTCTTCCTCCCCCAGCCTGGACGGCTCTCGGCGCTCCCTGCAGCAACAGAGGGAGATTTCTCTCCCTGTTAACAGCAGTGCAGTCAGTGCCAGGAGGGCTGAGCAGAATCGATTCTTGAAAATGAGAAGGCAAAGCGGAGCCAACGTGGTGCCAGACAGCTGGGGTTGGGTGCAGGATGGATGCAGAGCAGCCCCTCACTGCTGCCTCCTCCAGCACTGCACCCAGTGCAGGATTCCTCCCACACCAGGAGCTGCTCAAGCATCACACAGCAGGGAACAGCAGGACTGCACAAACCCCAACCTCCTGAAACACCACGGTGGGGGAAATATTTATTCTGAGCAGCCATCACCAGAAGCCTTCCAATGGAATATGGGCCAATGTTGGAGCTCTTTGGGCCTCATAGTATTTTGCTCAGCTCTGACCCAAGCAAAAAATCTTCCTGGAGGTCAGCTCTCCCCAGAAGGGCCAGCAAAGCAAACAGCTCTGCGGCTGCTGCAGGCTGAGCAGGACACCGAGAGCCCCGTGGCACAGCCTCTGAAGGTGCTCTTCCTCAGCTGGGCTTTTAAATCCCTCTAATGCAAAAATGCAGCAATTACAAGTCTAATTAGGGAAGAGGCTAATTGAATTCTTCGCAACATCACAGAGCGTGGAAAACTGCAACAATTCCCCTTTGAGTCAGAGTGTAGTTTGAGCTTTAATTGTAAGCCCTTTCTCTTCTGCTCGGGGAAGAGCATTCTCTTGCTGCTCCCTAGTGGTGGGCAGATTGACAACATTAATAGAAGATGCTGAATTTTGCAGCTTTCAACGTTTCTGTCCAGCAAACCTGCTGAATTTGCACAGCGTAGAAACCAGTGCAAACGACTGTTGTAGAGAATTAACTGTACATTAGGAAACCTTTCAGTCACGCCGTCCTTCAGAGGACATCTGACACAAAACGTTTGTGCTGCCCCTCTGAACTCACCTTCAGTTCCTCATTTCCTGACTTCGAGGCACTCAGCAGCTCAGGCCCCTGTGTGCAGCACTGCTCTCATCCTTTGCACTCTCACTTCTGGCCCCAGTATGAGGGCTTTCAGCTGGCACAAGGCTACCATTGCAGCTGGAAACAAAGCACTGAGTTGTTTTCCATTGAAAAGCAGCTTCTGCTCACACAGAGCTCTACAGAAGCCAAGTGACTGCATGTGCATCGCCAGGAGCAGCCTGCCCAGCTGGAATGAATTCCAGCCTTGCTCTACATGCAACCTCAAGGGATATTTGAGGAAAACAAAACCAAACCCAGCTATTCTGACAGGCTGGACAGAGATGCCACACTTAGGCCAAAGTCTGAGCAGTGCAGGCAGGCCTCGAGCCTCTGGTGAAGTTAGTTTTATCCAGGAACAAAACCAAAACCACTGAAGCAGCAAAAAGAAACGTATTTGCATGGAGTTCTTAGCCCTAAGAAGACAACCTAAGTCAAAGACTTGAGGATCTGAGAATTTATGCCCCAGTAAACACCAGGGGGTTGTTCTGTTGTATTCCAGTGGCACTGCAGCTGTTCCTTGCCATGGCCTCAGCTGTGGATACATGAGATACATGAGAAGCAATGGAGAAAAACAAAACAACCACAGAAGAAAACAGAGGTTAACATTTTTTTGGGGAAAAAAAACAAACAAACCAAACCCATGCACACAGCCAAGTAAAATCCTGTACATTAAAAACCTGTTTTATTGTGAAATTGCACTGCAATTGGTACCAAAGTTCTTTATAAACACAATATACAGTAAAATATTTTACACGACACACGCTGGGCATATGCTTCAGTTACAAAATGCACACAATTCTCTGACAGCAAGCAACCTCAGGATGTGAGGCTGCCTTTAGTTCTACAGAGCAGGCCACTGTGCTACCATAACATGGCAGCTAATTTCAACACGCTCAGCATTTCCTCAGAAAGGCCAGAAATGCTGTATATTCCACCTCAAGTTTCTTTCACACTGTTTAGAATGGCTGTGAGTAATGGATCTTTATTCCAACCCCCTCCTTGCAGAGAGGGCTCTTCAATTCTCACTGTTCAGAAACAGATTATTTGTGAGGAAGAGCACAGGGTGGGTGAAAATCAGGGCTGAGATTATTTCCACCACTTTTCAGTTGGGCAAAAAAAGCAAAAATGAAGAAGTAAAGCTCCACATCTCCTTTTCCTCTCCCACATCTGTTACTCACATGCATGCGTATGAATATGAAAAGGAAATGTGGAAGACATTCCTGTCACGCTGCCTCATGAAAGGCTGGGCCCTTTTTTTTAAATACATAAATTACAAATGTAAATTAGAGCTTCTGAACTTATGAAGCTAATAAATGCTTAACAGAAAATAACACACTGAAGGAAGCCATGGCTCCTTAGTGCTCTAAGTGCAAACAACTCTGTGCATCCCAATGTAATTAACGCTGCTGTCTTCTTACCTAACACTGCAGAAATACTTCATCTGTGCCTCCAGCTAACTGCAGCATTTCTGCATCACACCTACCACACATTTCCAGATGAAAATGTAACACTGAAACACGAACAGCATCCTCACAGCTGTGTAAGTTCCCTTAATGCTTAGACCAAGTTTGCATTCATTCCGAACCAAGCATGGATTTTGTGCTCCCAATTGCCATGGAGTGCTGAGTGAAATGGGAACAAACCTGACCACTGCTTGGAAAGCACTGGGAAGAAGAAAGCAGGAGCAGAGAGAACAACGTACAGCAGTTTGTTTACCTTCCTGATGATTGCTGGCAGAGATTTGCAGATCAGCCTGCAACTGACAGAGAGACAAGATGTAACTTCTGGCCCTACACAAAAACATTCAGCTCTCCAAGTACTGGAATATGCTTCGGCTTCGACTCGTTTGCTCTGTGCTGTCAACCCTGGGCCGTTTGGCAAGAGAAGTTATAGCTGCAGAAGGACCTCTTTTTGTCACCTGCAGAGGAAGAGAGCACACGTGAAGCACTCCAAGATTAAATTCTTAACTACAACAGAATTATTTGGTGTGAGATCACATTGCTGCACTGCAGGAAATCACAGAGAATATTTCCAACAGCGGTGCTCCCAACTGCCTGGCAGTGTTTGGTGTCTGTATGTTCAAATAAGCTGCAGAACTGGAGCACAATCGTACACAAATCTTTACCTGATGCTTTGATTTCTCCTTTGCCTCTTCATTCTTGTCTGGGGAAAGTGTGTGAAACACAAAGTTCCTGGAGTTCCGAGGTGCATTTGGGTTAAGATCTGACATTGCTGCTAGTTTCTGAAGGATATCTTTGGGTCTGTTCAAGAGAGACCCATTTTTAATCTGAAGAACAAAGAAATGTTGCATTAACCACTCCCATGAACAAGATAGCTCTTTTTAGCAGCAGATTACCCTCAATAGAGAAGAATATTGTGTACCAAAATGTTATTGCTACCACTATTTCCTCTCTATCTTACAAACCAGTCATAGCTGGAATCTAGGCTCAGCTGACTCCAGTGTCCTACAGATGCAGTTTGGAAATGCCATCTTCCAGAACCAATACCAACCTGGATGTCACTGGCAGGTCTGAATGCTTCAAATGGGTTCGTGGGCAATAGCTTTGCATCTTGTACCACTACTGCAGGGCTTGCTAGCAGACACAAACAGGAGAACATCAGCTTATGAACTTACTTTGCAAGAATACAACTTGATATCAAAAGGAGGAATTTAGAATTGACAACATACTGCAGACAGAAAAACCCCAACAAGCTGCACTGAGCTACACTACGAGCTGCACAGCTGGTAAGATTGCTCTGGCAATCAGTATTGACATTTAGAAGGGAAAATTTGGTTTTGAGACAATTTTGCACACTTGAAAGAGTCGTGCTTTTACTCCAATCGGGGAAAACCTGAATGCATTTTCAGGACCTTACAGTTTTTCCTTAAGTCACAGATATTTGGAGAAGCTGCTAGGAAACAGGTCACTTAGATCTGTGATTTAAAGGATGACAAAGAATGAGACTAAAAGATGCAGAGGAATTGACTTTCACTCCATAGCACTTGTTTTCCAGAGGTAACAAAGTACTTCTTAAGTACACACAACTACTAACAAGCTTGCAGATTGATGCTTCATCTTTTTGAAGCTCAAATGACAAAACCTTGGGCTGGTGTAAGAAAACAAGGTACTGGGGCTTGCTGATCCCCAGCCTGGTTCCCTAGAGACCAGCTAACCATGACTGGAAGTTAAGCTCTCTTCTTTGGTTGTCACTTCAGTAAAAAAAAGAAAAAAAAGATAAGCCCACCTCTCTTCTGTAGGGACTTTGCAGTCACTTTTTTGGCTAGTTTCATGAACTGACTGTCCTCACCAATGTCCTCCTCCTCCTCCTCCTCCTCCTGCTCTTTATTTTTTTCCTTCTGTAGCAGAGAGAAGATATTTTGTGAAATTGAAAGAGCTCTTATTAGGAATGAGCACTTCATTCAGTAATTTCAGTAGGCCATGTCTTTCCACTGTAAAGATCAATCTATGACTGGGGTTTTTTCCAGAATGCCACATCTGGTAATGCTACAAAGAACTGAACGAGGTGCCCTGCTGGTACCTGCTCACGAAGCCACTGCTCTCGTTCAAATCTCTCTTTCCTCCATTTTACTTCTGTTTCATCAAACTGTTCATTTTCATCTTCGTTATCAGAATCCCTCTGAAACAAGTCCATCTGGGAAGCATCATCTAGAAAAAGAAAAAAACCCATACATCTTCTCTCTAAGCTTCCATCCCATCTCCCATCTACGGATCAGAAAGGCACCTATGTTTTTCCATCTGAACCTCCTCATCCTGCCAGGCCCATCGCTGTGCAGGTCGCCATCAATGAGGTACCTCTCTTGGTACAGGCGTAACTCACGCTTGTCAGCATCAAGCACTGCCTTCCTATCAGGGCAAACAAAAGGCAGAGGCTCAGTGCACATCACTTCTAAGCCATCACCTCAGCCACGCACACAAACGAACACCAGTGTGGCCACTGACATGTGTAATTTCTGTACTTGACTTTCTAACTCCGCTTCGTTAGGGAGGTCCTCGTCAATAACCTCTTCTTCATATTCATTCAGGTCTTCTCCATCATACTCATCCTCACTTCCCACGTCACTTCCTGACAGCTCTGCCTCATCTTCCATGAAATCCTCCAGTTTGCTGTCAAAGAATGGTAGAAGAGTTTAGTTTGGTAGATCAATTATTATCACATAAGTCTTCTGAAAGTCAGCTCTATCTTTGGATGGAAGATCAGCACATATTCTCAAAGAGAAATCATGACTCATAAGACCTGAAAGTTCTTGCACATTTACATATCGAGCCTGCCAACACACAACACCTCCAGATTATTGTCATGCTCTAGACTGCTTGTCAATTGCTCGCCAAATGTGAGATGATAACTGTCACCAAGATGTGTTGCCTGCTAGAATGAATAAAGACCTCAAGACTTAGAAAATGACAGCGATGCACTGCGACCCCATTTTGGTGAAGAAATTCCTGCACTGCTTTCATCCTGACCTTTCCATTTCCCTCTGTAATGGAAATTATAATGGAAATTCTCTCCAGCCAACCAGCAGCACTGTTAACCCGTGCAGTTTGGCAGCATCAGTGCAAAAACAACCCCTGGCACTTACAGCTTTTTCTTCGAGCCCTCTCTACGTCTCAGTAGTTCTTCTTCGTCACTTACTTCTGCTTCTTCACCATCATCATCTCCACTCTTTTCATCCTGTGAGAGTTTATGGAAATGAAGTTTTATCTAAAAGTGGATTGCTTTATAATGACAGCTTCTTCTGTCCTTCAGTCCATAAACACAGAATAAAACAGCAGGGAACTTAAAAAAGATTTACTTTGTTAATATTATGCTATTCTGGATCTTAAGTTGACATTTTAAATGGTCTAAATTGCTCTCTCTTTTTTTCCCATTAACTTGTTCTGGATGCCATTGTATTTTGCATTGATAAATATATTTAAAAAATGATAAGCTGAGTTCTGAGTCAGAATGCCACATCATTCTGCTTCGCTTTATCATTTCATACCTCTTCACTCTCAAAAGCATTGTCATCTGTTACAAGCTGAAAGTCACCAAGCTCCTCGTGCTCCTCATCTTCCTCTTCCCTAGGGGAAAATGAGTGAAATGAGACAACTGCCACCACAAGCTTCTGTAAATCCCTGAAGAATAATGCTAACCTGTCTGTGGGAAAGGAGCCTGAACAAAGTGCCAGTGCTTCTGCCATTGGGTCCTCTAAGTCGCTGTCCTTTTCTGCCTTGGAAGAAACTGATGATGCCCACGTTGGAGAATCTGCTACAAAAAACAGTGAGGTGACGACTTACTAGACAGATACACTTTAACTTTTAGAACGTTGGAGAACATCTTAGAAATGACAGCCAGCATGCACCAACAAATTATCACAGCTCTGAGAAGTCTCTCAAGTTCCACGTTCTGCGTTATTGCCCAGAACTGGAACGTGTGTTAGTGTAAAGCTCAGAAACCCAGCCAGCAGCAGAGCTGGGGACAGAATTCAGGACATACTCTGAGTCACAAATTTCCCAGAGCAAAGATGGAGCAGTTCTTCCATGTTTTGTTTCTTGCTGCTGCTGGTACTCGGCACGTGCTCGGCTTGACTGCTAAACTGCCCAGAACACAAGTCCAATAATTCATCCATGTTGGCATCCATTGCATTCTCATCCATACTGGCTAGAGTCAGCCTGTGCTTTGAGGACTGGTATTTAGTTCTGTGTTGTCCAACATTCAAGAACCTGAAAGAAAGCCTGCAGTTAGCAAAATCTTGCTGTCCTGTACGTTCTACCTCTGTGAAAGGGCACCAAATATCATCCTTTACATCTGTAACCTACCCATCTGCATCCAGCAGCTGGCTCTGGGTGTCATCTTCCAGAGAAAACTGAAACTGGGATTCTCCAGCCCCTGGAAACAAACTCTTTGGTTCAGGAGAGGCATTATACAGGTCCTGGGAATCTTCTATGGGAAGAGATGGCTCAGACATCTTTCCCGAGCTCTAGGCAAAAGAAGGTAAAGTAAACAAATTAATTACTTTGCAATCCTGGAAATCAAAAGCAAGAACCAGATAAAACATTTACAATATTTTTAGGGATAAAAAGAAGTTAAGGATTTCCAAGTTGCGCTGAAGTCAAATGCTGTGCAAATATATTTAAAGCAGAGATCAAAAATCAGATTACAGCATCTTCTCTTTGAGGCTTTAGAGACATTTTAAACTCCAGGGATGTTTGCTTGCCTGAAATCTTACTCATACAACTGCATTTGGCTAGATGCCTTCTCCTTGTGTTATTTTTTCCAAAAACATGGCAGGATAAAATGCATTTATTCATCATGTTCATATGAGACACAGCCAGGAGGAGGAGCCTCACCTTGGAAGCAGAGCTGATAAAACTTGTTTTGAAAAAACCTGGGGAAGGTGACCTGAAACCTCCTGCTGCAGGTAAAAAGTTCCCTCCACGCGACGTCTGTTTGTTACAGGGCTGGTAGGATGGAATCATGGAGCCAATCAGCTCAAAGCTGCTGTTGTGGCTATTCTCTTTTGCTGGTGTTGGTAGAGAAAATGAATCATCATCTTCTGAAAAGAAAGTTTAACATAATGCTTATTTTCTCTTCTGTGGTCCAGTAATCCCCAGGTACTACTTCACAGCACTGACACCTTGCAAAGAGTTCATGATTTTATGCTTAGTTTGGATTTTTTTCCTGCACTTTTGGAAACTGAATTTAATCTGACTGAATTTTGATTGTTCACATTTTTTTTCCCCAGCGTTACTTTGAACTTTACTTTCCTCTTTGTTTTTCCATGCTCTCCTAAGTCTTAATTCCTAACTTCCATGGCGACGCCATGCGAACACGCAGCTGATGAGAGCAGAGCAGTGCCAGAAACAAACACCACACAGAAATATCTGCATGTGCCACGTGAAAAAAGTAAAAATGAAGCTAACACAGCACTTCTGCTTTACCTAACTTAGCAGGATCTTTGTCTGCAGCTTCTTCACTTTCGTGTTTCTCATCAGCAAGGGAGTACCTGTAATTAATTACATGAAAGGTATTTGTTAACATACACGAGATTAAGTGCCATTAGCTATCACACCTAATTGCAAGGAATGAGGTATCAGAAGATCTATTAGATAATCATAATGATATCTATGACATCTAAAATATCTATTGCTCAAGAACAATTTTCCAAGTTTTGTCATCTTACCCCATTTTGGAGGAGCTGTCCTTGAAGAGCATCAACGTAGACTCAGTTGAAGGCAGTTTGGGAACAGAAGCACAGTCTGCAGATTGCTCCACCTTTTCTCCATCAATTGACTCTCTGTCAGTTTCTTTGTCACCGTCTTCAACTTGTTTCTCTTCCAAATCTTCATTGTCTTCCTCTGCCTCATCAAGCAGAGATTCCACAGCCTAAAGAACATCCCCAAATACAGCAGATACACTGTGGTTATTCTTGGAGCTGTCACCCTTCCTGCAAGTTTTTTGAGACAGTGTTCTAACACATGGAGGAGAACACTGAGCGACACCCAGTTCTTCCATACCCCATTGGACTCTGAGACAGTCCAGAAGTGCTCAAAATGGGCACATTATTCTGACCCTCTCTAAAAACTAAAATCTGTGGCAAACTCCACCCCAGGTCAGACAGGTATGCATACATTCCATAGAAATTGTCCACTGCTAGGAACAAGGCCAGACATTTATATGAGTGACACCAAAAATTGTTGTACATGTTAGCTTTTAATGCTTTTTAGGCAAATAAATACTAGTAAATTCAGTTTAAAATACTAAGAAATCTGTACAAGATAACCATAGGGTTTTTTTGGTGTTTTCTAAGGAGATTTAGTGGCAATCACCCAACAGTAGTAGTATACAAGATCCTACTTTCACTGAGGAGAATCAGAACTGAGAATAAGAGTGGGTTACGTGGATATGTTGCACACAGACCTCATGATCGCCTTCCTCCTCTTCCTCAGACTCATCTGTCATCTCTTCCTCCTCCTCCTCCTCCTCCAGCAGCTCCTCATTATCCAGTTTGAACAACGCTTGCCGTTTCTGGCGCTCCTCAGTCCTGCGGAGCTTCATGGCCTCCTGCAGTTTTGCTTTCAGCACTTGCAGCTTTTCACCTGGACAATGAATGAATCCATACATCAGATGCACTACACTGAATCCTTTACTTGGCCACTTCCAAGCATCCCATCCAGTGCCACTACACACATATCAAGGCTATTTAAAACCGACTCATTTGCAAATGTTCTCATTGATTTGTCAGCTGGAAGAGATGGAGAGTTAGCTTCCACAAATTCAATGTAGAGAGACAATGCCTTCCATGGGCAGATAGCACATGAAATAACTGTGAGCAGCTAAAAATAGTGCATGCCCATAGGACTGCCCAAACAATTTATTTTTCTTTTCATAGATACTGGGAGAGTCACATTCCACATATATTTTTCTTTGCAAATATATATATTTAGGAGCTGCAATACAGAATTAAGGAAGCACAAGAGATCTATGAAGTAAGAATAGCTCACAAGGAGCCTGAGAGTTACATTTAGAAGGGAGAACAGCATGCACACATGGCTATGTAAAAGTTTGGTAAAGATGGGGAGAAATTCAGAGCAGTCACAAAAATCTGACTGTGACAACCTGATCAACACTGACCAGTGCTATTTATGAGGCCTATTAAGATTCTTCAAAACCAAACCAAACCAAACCAACAGGACACACATTAGAAAAACATTCCTTCATCTCTTTTTTGTGGGCAGCATTAGAAGAAGGGGAAACATGGGAAAAAAAAAAATAGAGAGTGATTTCCAATCAATCATCACAACCCCCAAACTGACCTGGCTTTGTGTGCACTGCTTCATCCAGGCTCTCTGCAGCTAAAACTGCTGGCACCACGTCTGCTTTTAGTTCCTCCTTTCCTTCAGCTGTGGTTTCCTTACGAATAATGTTCATGTTTATGGTCCTTTCTACTTTGGGTTTCGAAGTTTGAAGAGTGTGCTTCAAGAAACGTGCCTTCAAGGCTTCTAAATCTTTAAATACATGTTGATTGCATGCAAATTAAATGAATTTGATAGTATTAAATTTGTATCGAGAGCAGGTCTTGAAATTTTTTCAGAAGGCATTAATTAAAAACTGTAAACCTCAGACATTTTGGTAATTGTAAAACAATTTGACTAATAATCAATCATGACAGAATATTTTTGCAGAAGTAGTACTAAATGACATTCCCACTGAGTATGATGTACTCACAAGAACTCAACTCTACACTTCCAGCCACCAGGAATCTCTAAGTTTCTGATAACAAATATATTTAAGACTAATGGCTCATCAACAAAGAGCTGGGGTAAGCATTCCTTCAAGCATGTGAATATTAAGGAATCAGAATTTCCCTTTCCAGCATCAGTTAAAGGAAACACATCTATACTGGTAAGAAAACATGCCTGACTCTGCTCTGAACCTGAACATTTCTCAAGAAGTTTTCCTTTTAAATTCAGCTTCGCTCTGCATACTTCAGAAGATCTGACAGTATTACAAAAATAAAAGTGATACCTTTATTCAACTCAGATTCATCGAGGTTTATAAAAGATTCATTGCCAGAGCAGATTCTTGGCTTGATGGTCAAATCGATTCCCAGCTCACGGAGTTTCTCCAATTTGGACTTCTTCACTTTTTCAGGCAGTGCTGCCAACCCAGGCCCCACCTGTTGGTTGTTTCCCAGGCCTGGTGCTGTTTCATCTCTTTGCTCAACAGCACTGCCTCCAACTGGTAGAGGAATTTCACTCTCTTTCTGTTCACTGCAGTTGGTGCTTAGGACTGATTTTTGTTCCTCTCTTTCCCTGGCAGTTGTTACAGCACTATGAGAATCATCATTGTTCTTTCCAGACTTTTCAGCACAGTCTCCTGTCAAGTTCTCCCCCACACCAAGGAGAGGATCTCTGGCAGCAGTATCCATGTCTCCACCAAGGTTTGCTTCTGGCTCGTTAGCTGCTGATTGATCACCTTCTGTTGGCCCATCTTTGCAATCTGTGCTTGAGGTCTTCATGCCTGCAGCCTCTTCATTTAGGGTGAACTGATATTTAGTGGACCTAACAAAGGCAGGAAGAAATACATCATCTATGGCTATCAGGAAAGGAGAGGAAAGGCTGAGAACAAATTGAGAGAAGAAAATAATTTCCTCTCATTGATGCGTAAGAAAAGGTGAAGGATAAAAGTCTGGAAAACTTCATTTTGAGAAAAGCATAGTACAATTTCTCTACACTGTTCTATATAAACAAATTCCTAACAGATTTTACACCTACCTGAGTATTTTACTACATGTTATTCAAAACAAGGTATTTCCAGATGTTTATTGCATCAGAAGACTCTAAGAAAAAAGCAGTAGTTTCTTTTTAAGGCTCACCAGCAACAGTGACTGCACAAAAAGCAGGCGTGCACGTGAGACAGCCCTGTAGCCCACAAGAAAGTCTGCTCATCCCCCAGAAGCTAAGTTGGGATATCCTAAATGTTTATGAAAATACATGAGGAAGGTTTGAGTCCTTACTTCAGCAATGCCATGGCATTTCCTTCATACACTGGTCGAGATCTACGCTTGAAGAATTCGTGAACACTTTTGGCCTCAGGCATATGGTATGGGAGAGACACAGATGATTCTACCAGAGAAACAAGGTGCAAGAAAAATCGAAGTCATCTCAGGCATTTATACCTTTAAAAAGGTCCTTGATTAAAAACAGTCTTTTACTCTTCAACCCTTAATAACTAATGCCAGGTAAAAGAAAGATCTGTTCTTTCAGACAAATCCTTTCTGTTTCTCCCCTGAATTTCTTACTAGTTTAAATCCCACTACATACTAAAAAAAAAATTCAGCTGTACCTCTAATAAGCCGCTGGGTCTCACTATGTAGCTGTTTAATGGCTTCCTTACTCAACCTTGCTGCTTTCCGCTCCTTAAGAAAAGAAAAGAAATCTGAAGTCAGAATGGAAAATTTGGGATTCTCTATTCTCTGAATAGCTGTTTTTCCTCTTTCAAGTTACAAGGAGGCAGCACAAAACAACTAAATGAAATAGCAAAACAGCAAACCAACAAAAACATCAGATAGCATTGAAAAGATAAGACACAAAAAGCTCCCAATGGTTTGAGTAACTGCAACAAACAACAGAAGAATACTTCACCTTCCTTTTTGGTTCTTTTAATGCACGTTCCTCATTATCATCATCAAAGACATGTTTGTAGCCTTGGTCCTCAGAAAGCCCTTCTTTGTTCTGCAGTGCATAAAGGAGAGATCCATTTGTTTGATAGATAGATAGGCACAGCGAAGACAAACAGGTGAAAATACATGATCACAGAATCATAACTTGTCACCAAAACAGGATCTGCACACATTCTCACCAACGAGCACAAATCCTGTGTAACACTATGGCAGATTTCCAAAGCTTCTACTGTAGCCTTATAACTTTCCAATACCACTTTCCTCTACCTTAAAGAACAAAAACCTGAGGACTATTTTACCCTGTTATAAACAACTGTAAAAAGTACAATCGTCAAACAGTTTCACGTATGCTCAAATAAAATGCTTCCTGCTAGTATCCAACAATGTTATGTTGCTATACCTTGTATTTCTTTATTTTCTCTTTCACTGCTGCTCGTATTGACTCTATTGACTCTTCATCCCCTGGGAAGGAATCGTTTTCCTCTTCTAAGCCATTATCGAAAAGTTCTTTGTCATCAAGAAGACACCCACTGTCATTAAAAGGAAACCTCTCACCACCATCCACCTGCTGGCCCTAAAAAGAAAATATTTGAATTATTTGTTCCAGGATTTCCTCTTCAGTTCTTTGACTTGCATTTAAGATTACTGTCAACAGATCTCAAGGAAACTTAGAAAAAGTGTATGCCAAACTTAGCCAAGAATCTGCCGTGCCCTGTAAGCCAGGCATGTTCACTTCAGAGCACTGCAGAACGGATGAACTAAATTCATGGAGCAGCGTTCCCTAAAATACACAGGACTCTCAATAGTCCTTGTGGATACCATACCCTATCTGTTGTAGTAATGAGGACACAAAGGATGCAGAAGCATTGAAACAAAATAATAATACTGTTAAACATGTAATTTAATGCAGAAAGCATCTGAGATTTTCTGCCCAAAGCATGTACCTCCGAGCTTGGCTTCTTCTCTTTTATAAGCTGTTTGATGGACTCGGCTCTTCTCTCCCTCTCCTTTCTTCTTCTAGGTTTTCCTACAGATTTTTCAGCTGCCTCGTCTTCAAGACTGTGTTTATGCTTTCTGGATTTTTTCCCAGATTTCAGTGGTCTCTCCTCTCTCAGCTCATTCTCAGACAAGACAGACTTCCTGCTCGTGTCAAGATTCTCAATTTGCAAATTGTCACCAGTGTCACTGTCATCGCTGTCCAGCAGAGCCTGGCGAATCCGAGATTTCTTGTTTTTCTGGGCAATGACCTCTTTTTCCTCTCCATTTTCTGTGTCTCCACCCAGAGTGTCATTCTGCACAGAACAGTCACCATCCTCTCCATCTTCACTTTCGCTGTCCTGAAGCACCTTCTTGCCTTTTGCTTTTCTGCTTACAAAAATCTCTTCTTCTGAATCTGACAAATTATATTAAAAGAAAAGAAGCGATGTGTGCTATGGAAAAGTACATTCCACTGGTTAATTAACAAGCAATTGGTTACGTATAAAGCTACAAATGTTAAATTTTATAGATGTCAATGACTGTAACCGTTGACATCGGTTGTATCAGCATGAAATCAAATATTCAAAATCCACCTCTCCAGCCTCTTCAAAAGGCTGGAAAAAAAGGCAAAACTGAAAATCCTTCACTGATAAATCAGTAATTTGAAATAATAAAACCATAGTTGGTAAAGCAAACCATAAAAAGGAAGGAAATGAGCCTGTTTACCACTTCCCTTTCCATACCTCGAAACCCCCTTTTCTGCAGCTCTCTGGCCACATCCTAAGCAACAAAAGCAGCACTTTAGCCTTGTACAGCAGCCCAGCAGATCCCCACCACCCAGGCAGCCCTGTGTGAAGTCTGGCAGCCCCATTACAGACCTGCATCCTGGGGGCACACGGTGCCAGTGGACGGCCGGCCCGGTGAAAGGGGCTCAGCGCTGCCCTGCCCGCTGTCTGAGTCACTGCCTGAGTCGCTGCCGTGGGCCTTCAGCACAGCCACATCCAGCTCTTCTGGTTGCAGCTACAAAGCAAAGGACAGCTTTCCTGAGCACCGCGTTTATACACGAACGGCTCTTGGGGCCTAAATCCACCCCGAGGCCTTGGCTGAGCTCTTCCATAGGATCACACACGCGTTATTGGCACTCATTTATTTATACACTTATTGATACACTCCGTCAATCTTTATTGGTATCTAAATATGCTTCAGGTGACCTCGCACACAGACAAAACAAGGCAAACGGCGCTCAGGCCGATCCCCCCTGTGAGGGACGCGCCTCAAAGAAGGCACAAGGCGCCATCCGAACGGCGGCACCGCCCGCGCGCCCTCCCTTCGTGCACTGCGCTGCCAGGCCAGACCCCGCCCCTCCCTCCTGCGCGCGCGGAGATAGGCCGCTATGAGCTTCCCAGAGTGCATCGCGAGGCGGAAGAGAGCGCCGCCGCTGGGCATGCTGGGAAGTGCAGTTCTGAAGCGAGGCGGGGAGTCGGCGGTCTGAGTCAGCTCACAGGCAGCTGAGGAGGCGCCGCCGTCTCGCTCGGTGCTCATCCCAACCCTCCACCGCGTCGCGGTCACGGGAGCTGCGAGGCCCCCGGTAGCCGCCAGCCGAACGTGCGGAACGGTACGAACTCACCTCAGAGGGAGCAGCCGCCATGGCCCGGATCGGACGCAGTCGCAGCGCTGCCGCGTAAGAAACCTCTTCAAGTCTTCGCGCGCTGCCCTAGCCCCGCCCTGCTTCCGGAACAGCCAATCCTCGTTCAGGACGTCCCTTTAAGTCCCACCTCCCCCGTATTTGATTGGGAGATTTTTTCCGCCTCGCCCCGCCCTCTCCAGCTCGCCCAATCACCGCTCGCGCAGCGGGCGCCCTCCCGCTCTCCCCGTGGCGGCGCTCTCCCGGTCAGGGCGGAGCAAGGCGCCCGGTGTGCGGAGCTGCGTGAGGTCCTTCGGCTGTCCTCAGCCGTGGGGCGCGTGTGGGAACCCCGGTGCTGGGCCTGCGGAGGTCGCAGCCACACCGTAACCCGAACCCGCGCGGTGTGGGATCCGGCTCACAAATAGGTATGACGGGTCTGTACGTTGTAGAACATAAAATGATTTGTATTTTTTTTTTTCGTTGAAGTCAAATAACAGTCAGGTGCTGCCTGTCCTGAGGGGGAAGGAAAGGAAAAACAAAACAAAACAAAACTTCAGAGGCGTTTGGTCACGGATCTGTGGGAGATACGGATCTTTGTGGTGGTTCCCGTATCCCCAACGCACCTTAGAACGGAGGGAGCGAGAAAAGCAAACGCGACCTGCAGAGAGGCTGCGGGGCGGCCCGGCGCCTCTGTTACCTCACGGCTGCCTCCGAACAGAACCGGCCCTTGGGTCCCCGTCCCCTAATCGTGAACGGAGGCGGCGTTCTGAGGAGGGGAATTAAGAAAATTTAAAAAAAAAAAAGAAAAAGGTGCGGCGAACGGAAGCGGAGCCGCGCTGTGAGGCGGCGCCGTGAGAGAGGCGGGGCGGAGCGGGGCCGCGCGCTCACCTGTTGAAGGCCGCGCCGGCGCCCGAAGAGTGCGTAGCGACGTGCGCGCCCCCGCCGGCAGGGGGCGTTGCGCGTGCGCGAGCCGGCGGCGCCGAGCGGCGTGGAGGGGGCGCTTCTTCCTCCTCCTCCTCCTGCTGCTGGGCCGGCGGCGGGGGGCGCGCACGGCGGGAGGCGGCGCGTGCTGGCGGCGGCGGCGGGGGCGCGCTCGGGCTCGGCGGCGCAGCGGGGGGATCGTGGGGATCGTTTGCGCCGCCGCTCGGGGAAGCGGAGCTCCGGCAGCGCGCCCCGCCGCAACCCCCCCCCGGCCGCCGCCGCTCCCCCCACCGCCGCCGCTCCCCCGGTTTCCGTGTCGGGTCCCCGCCCCGGAGCCAATATTCCCGAGATCAAGCGTTACGCGGCGGCGGCGGCGGCGGCGGGGCCCGGGGCGGCCGGCGGGGCCGGGGGAGACCGCAGCGAGGCCGCTGCCGCCGCCGCCATGGAAGCACTGGGACCCGGTGAGAGACGCGGGCGGGGCGGGGGTTGGACGAGGCCCGGTGGGGCCGTGCGAGCGCGGGGATGAGGAGAAGGAAGCGGAGGCCGCGGCACGGTGCCGCTAGGACGGTGGCTGCGCCGGCGCGGCCGGGCCCGGGAGCCGCTGCAGGCCGCTGGGCCGCGGGGAGCGCAGGGAGCGCTGCGAACGGAAAGGATCGGCGTGGAACGAGCCGCCAAGTCCGCGGGAAGTTTGCGGGGCTGAGCTGTCAGTGGGGCGCGGCGCGTCCTTGGGGGTGGGCGGCTGTGAGGCTGACGTGGGCCGTGCCGGGTGTTGTGTCGGTCCGCAGCCTTTGGCTGAACGCTGGTGCTGTTCTGCATGGGGTGTTTTCCCGCTTGTGTTTCTTTACTGACGTGTGCCTTATCTTGGTGCAGTTATTGGGGTAATTGTTAATTTCGTTGAAATATGAAACGTTTATTGACACCGAGGGAACTGGGCTTGTTTAGCGTAGAGCTGAGAAGGCTCCGGGGAGACCTCGTGGTGGCCATCCAGTACTTGAAGGGAGCAGATAAACGGGAGGGGAAGGGCTGTTTGTAAGGGTGGATGGTGATAGGACAAGGGGGAATGGCTTTAAACTGAGACAGAGGAGGTTTAGGTTGGATATTAGGAGGAAGTTTTTCACCCAGAGGGTGGTGAGGCACTGGAACAGGTTGCCCAAGGAGGCTGTGGATGCCCCATCCCTGCAGGCATTCAATGCCAGGCTGGATGTGACTCTGGGCAGCCTGGGCTGCTGGTTGGTGACCCTGCACACAGCAGAGGGTTGGATTTGGATGAGCATTGTGCTCCTTTGCAACCCAGGCCATTCTATGATAATTGTAGGGGTTAGGAAGGACCTCCAGAGACCATCGAGTCCAACCCCCTGCAAAGCAGAGCCCTGCCGCTCTGAACTCTGCTGTTAAGATAGCGGAGGTTTCTGACAGTCTGCTCTGCAGCTGCACCATGCAGTGTGTCCACACCAGCTGCCTGCTCTGCAGGATCCTCTTTTGGCTCTGTAGAGTACTTCCTGTCTGAAGTAACATCTTGAGGTGTCAGAGCCTGTAAATGTCACACAGTGGAAGAAATGAAGAGAAATAGTGCGTATGAACCTCATCAGGCTGATGGGGCAGAAATCCCAATAAAATCAGGGTGGTCTGCAAGGAGGCTTTTAGCTTATTCTCCAGAATCCTTTGAGAAGTAACTCTAGAAAGGAGAAGGTTGCACTTCCTTTCGTCAGTGCTGACCTCCTGACAGCCATGTCTGCCCACAGAACTTGTCAATACGAGGCAGGAAAATGGGTAAATATAGTTGTCATTTAATCTCTTGTGGGAGGTCAGTGCTTGCACTTACTTCAGGCTAATTAGCGCAGGATTAATGGATCATCTCTCCCGTATCCAAATAAGCACTGCAAACTTTGATTGCCCTTGATGATTCACACTTGTGGAGATAGCTGTAGCTTTTTGAGGTGCTGACTGCTCCCTACGAGCAGTTCAACTGTGCTCCTGGCCTGGTGGCAATTACTTATGCAGGTGCAGAGCCAGCAATGCATCGTGTGGGACGTCTGCACCCAAACAGCCACAGTGCTGCAGCAGCTTTGGCACGGATGTGTCAGTGGGCTCCAGCTGCTCTGAGCCATTCTGCTGCCAGCCGTTCTGAGGTCGGTGCCCTCGGGTGGAATTTCAGTGTGATGGCCATCGCTTGGCTTATAAACCCGAGTGCAGAAGGCTCCTTTCATTTGGTCTTAGCTTTAGTGCAGGATTGTGTTAAGCTTATTGTTGCACACTGAGGTGTACCCAAATATGAGCTTCATCCTCCTACAGCTTATCTGCTTCTCTTCTCTTCTCTTCTGGTATAAGCTCTGAGCCCTTGATTTAAATGGATACTGGCAGGTTGACACTTTTGATACTGAACTTGCCCTTAGTTTTATTGTTACTTCATTGCTACTCTTTTACTCTGCTTTGCTGCTCAAGAACAGAGGGAAGAAACACTGATCACACTGCGTGCTGGCAGGTACAGACAAAAGCCATGAAAAGATCAACTCTGCTTTAAATGCAGTGTGGGTTGTGATAGATTGAACAACAACAGAAAGTGTTTAATCTTGTTAATATGGTATCTCAGATCTTAGCACTTCCAGGAATTTACCTGAAGATTTACCCAGTGACCAGCTTGCAGGGAGTGCCTTTTTAAGCCTCTCCTGATTTATTACTTTGAACTCCTTCTGCAGCCCAAATTACCTTTGCCCAAATAAATTACCTTCTCCACACGTGTTAGGAGTCTGTGCCTGTCTGTATGCTTGCTCCATTGCTCTTCAGAAGAAAGCCTAAGCCATGCCTCATTCCTTTCATTGTGTTAGAACTTGCAATCGGGTGGAATTCTGCTCCAGGGGAGAAGTGTTTCATTGTTAATAGAAGCAATGTGTTCATGATGTGAGGGAAACAACCCGACTGGTTTTTTAGCCTGGATCCAATGTGGAGATATGTCTTAAGTTTGGATTAGAGTGAAAGATCTACCTTACTCATTTCTAGATTACAGCAACTTTCAGGTAGAAATTGGGAATGTATTTCATCTGAAGTTTAAGCCCATAATGAAAAGGTGTGGCTTTTGGCTGGTTCTAGAAATGATGTTAGTAGTACAGTTATCTTTCCTTATATAAGAATAGATAATATATAAATGTGTACGTTCCATCTGGGGACTCTGTCGAGTTCATAAACCACAGTTTTGGATAAATGTCACTACAGTTCAGAGAGTGAATTGTGGCATTAACCTACACACACGTGCTTTAGGGAGCACGTTTTTCACTTGGAAGTTGAGAGCTGCTGGGAGGCCGTGGGCTGCTTGGGATGCTCCATGTGCAGGTGTGAGGAGCCCTTTAAGGTTCCTTTCTGCCATGCCAGAAGGACGTTCCAGCTGAATACACCTGAAAAGATGCTGCACTGAGTGATAGTTCTCTTCTGTATTTGTTTGACTTTGCAGGGCCCCCAACAAGCCTTTTCCAGCCCCCCCGTCGCCCAGGCCTGGGAACTGTTGGGAAGCCCATCCGCCTCCTGGCCAACCATTTCCAGGTGCAGATCCCTAAGATCGACGTTTATCACTATGACGTGGATATCAAACCAGAAAAACGACCCCGAAGAGTCAACAGGTAGGATCTGCTTCATGGTCATGACACAGTTGTGTCATCTGTTACACAAAGATGTCTGTTAGCAGCTGAGGTGAGGGAGTTCTGCTTGTGCATTGATAGGAGTGTTTTAGGTGTTGGTGCCTGTCAGTAGAGCCCCAATGAAGAGCACCCCAGCTCACCCCAGGGCAGATGCTTGTATTTGCTCCTGTAGGTGAACAGTTCTTCGGATGGCACTGCCTGTACTGAGTGCATCTCTTCTGACATCAGAGAGTTTGGACAAGTGCCTTGCATATTTATACTGACACTTCAGTGTCTGAACCTGGAGGTGACTTACAACAGTCAGCAGCAGAGACTAACAGTGTGTTTTGGTGCATTGTAACTTCTCCTACCTTGATCCGTTATGAAAACGTAGAAAAGGCATTTGAAACCACATCAGACCATTGCTGATTTTCCTGTTCTCCGACCTAACTTGCTACATCCCTCTGCAGGGAGGTGGTGGATACTATGGTGAGGCACTTCAAGATGCAGATATTTGGTGACCGGCAGCCTGGATACGATGGGAAGAGGAACATGTACACTGCACACCCGTTACCCATCGGCAGGGACAGAGTGAGTGTTACTGTGAGCAGCTCAAACCTTGTGCAGGAAACTGCCAGGGTGCCATTGGAAGTGTTTTTATTGGCAGTGGGTGGTGGTGGTGTTGTTATAACGTTGCTTAGCAGTGTAACGTAATGTTATGGAAGTCTGCTGCAGTCCTTAACAAAAGCTTCTGCTTGGCTTTATCTGGAAGGTGGATATGGAGGTGACGCTTCCAGGAGAGGGGAAGGACCAGACTTTTAAAGTGTCCATTCAGTGGGTGTCAGTCGTCAGCCTTCAGATGCTGTTGGAAGCTCTGGCAGGGCATTTGAACGAAGTTCCTGAGGATTCTGTGCAGGCCCTGGATGTAATTACCCGGCACCTTCCCTCCATGAGGTGGGTACTTGAGGTGTCTGCAGAACTGGTCAGTCTTGTCTCTGTCTTACATTTCTGTTAGTTACCAGCTGCTGCTCTGCTGTTGCCCCTTCGTATTGCAGAAGGGTTGAGGGAAGCTGTTGTGTAATTCAACGCCTGCATTACAAATCTGCACTGGAATAGGGATATTTGATCTGAACTCAAGACTTGTATCTGCTGGTCGTGTTTCCAACTGGAATCTGCTATAGGCTTTCCAACTGCTCTGCTCGGGTTTTATATGCTTGCCACGAGTTAGCTCTAAAGTTCTGGTGTGCCACAGAAGCATGTTTCAAGCACCCAACTTGAGGAAAGTCTGTTGGAAAGCGATGCTCAAATGAATTATTTCCTTTTTCAGGTATACTCCTGTGGGTCGCTCCTTCTTCTCCCCCCCTGAAGGCTATTACCACCCTCTGGGG